ATGTTCTTAGTGGAAAAGGTTAGGATAATAACGTCACTGGTGCAGCTATTCCTAAAAAAATAAAATCTAAAGTTTAGAGCAAGAAGATTTGAAGATAACATGATCATGTATTAGCTCACTAACACCATGGAAAGAAATATGAGATGTCATAAAAAATACTTGGCCATTGAAAATACAATTGAGTTACTCAAAATAAAAGACGCCCTCTGCGATCTCCAATAAGATGATATCTTTATCACTCAATATTATAGTATTCTTAAGAGGTATTGGTAACAATTGAATATCTTTGAAGAACTGTCCAAGGGATACAACTAAATATCGAAAAATTGTTTAGAAAGACAAAATAGCCTAATTCTTTCTCGGTCTAAATAAAAAATTTGATGAAAACCGAGATAAATAAAAACTCTTCCATCTATTCTGCAAGTGTTTACTGAATTTATAGAGAAGAGAGTCAGAAAAAGATCATGATAGATAGACCAAGGCACAACAACCAACCACAAAAACTCCGCACTTATTTTTAAGCCATGTATAACTCCAACGAAAATTTCACAAAAAAAGGCCATGGTGTGATGATTGCCAAAAATTCATGCACAAAAAAGCAGCGTGTTGGAAATTGCATGGAAAGCATGCCGATTGAAAACCAGAAAAATAAGGCCGTAGTTTATAAGCAGTAAACGATATATTTCAAAAACCAACACAACCCGTACAGTATCCTCTTTCAACCAAAAGTAAATTGAGATGATGAAAAAAGTGTTTAGCCAACTTCAAACAAGTCCAAGTGCACCTTACATTTGCATTGGATCAATAGCTCAAAAAGGAATTGCATTTAATTCAAAATTTGAAAAGAGCAATATACAATTTAAAGAATTAGGGGTATCACATCACATAATCGAGAAAGCCCCTTCATTTTACAAAATACATCTTTGTTACAAGAACTACGCAGTTAGTATAGCCAATGAATCATTGTCTCGACATATAGCCATTGGGAGAATCCACATCTTTTATCTGTTGGCAAAATTATCAAATATATGGACCGTGTTACTTTTTTTTTAATATTCATTGTGAATTTCAAGATGCAATCTTAAGGAAGATGATTAACAATGCTAAGGAAAATGCTAAACTGATGAGGACATCGTCAGCAATTTCGACACGTGTACCATCGGAGACACCGGAGATCGACGGCCACGATCAGGAATTTTATTTTAAATCATTTTATGTAACAGTTTATTTTATTTTTCAATTTTTTCGTTTTTACCCTTATGGGTATTTGGTCACTATTAGAGCCCAAGAGGCATTTTAGTCTTTTGTTTCCTTTGTCATTGTGAGGCCTATATATATGGTCATTTCTTATGTAATGAGGATAATGAATATTGGAATGAAAAATTTGTGTTTTGTTTCTACTTCTTCTTGCATGAGAGCTTGAGAAGGAGAGAGCTCAAGGGGAGCAAATCGCAAGGCCAACCAGTCGTTGGAAGAGTCCGCGGCTTGTGGTTAAGTTATTTTATCTTCTCGTTCATGTTTTCTTCCATCTTCTTCCCCTCCACCACAAGAAAATCCCTTCCAAAACCCTTGTTGCCGCCGCCCCCTTGGAAGCCCGCCACCGGCCACTCCCACGGCCCCGGTCGGCCACCTTGCCGGCGACTTTCCCCACCCGTCCAATCCCTCCTTCCGCAAGTTTCAAATTTGAAATTTGAATTTCAAATTTCAAAATTTTTCCTAATTTGGATTTCCAATTTAGGAAAGTTTTCATGATGAATTCCAATTTCAATTTAATTTAAATTGGTGTCTTTAAACATATTTCCACATCATCGCTCCAAATTGGAAACCCTCTTCCCACCAATCCCCTCTCCCCCTCTCAACATGCCGCCGGCCCCCCTTGAGGGATTCTCCCCATTAATTGTTTGTTTAATGCCTATCCGATTTGAAATTAAAATTTGATTTCAAAGTTTTTTCCCTCCCAATTTACTTAAAATTGAAATTAAATTTCAGTTTTAAGTTTTAAACCCCCTCCCTCTCTCTATAAGCCGCCGGCCCCCCTCCTTGGCTTCCCCTCATTAACCCCATTAAATGCCTTAATTGCTTGACTTGAAATTTAAAATTCAAATCGATTTTCCCTCCAAACTTAATCAAATCTGAAATTAAACTCAGATTTTGATTAAATCTCTAAAGCCATCCACCCAAACCTAATTTCCCCTAACCCTAACCCTCTCACCCTTGAACCCGTCGGCCCCCTCCCTTTTCCCCTTGGAGATCCTGCCGCCCCTCTCGTCTTCCCCTTCTTTATTTGCCGTCTACAAGTGCTCTCTCTCACCACTACTTATTTCTTCCTCTTCCCCTTGTTTCCAACGGTGCTCCTTCATCTCCCGACAAGGATGCATGGCGGAACCCGAATGGAACTTTGGCTTTTTGCATGACGATCAAGATCAAGTCGACATCCACCAATCTCCATTCTTTGATGTGGGCTTTGATTTCGACGATACCGTTGAAGACTACATCGACCATATCCAATACGCCTTTTAGTTGACGTAATCGACGAGCAAAGATCAAGGGGACATTGGATCATCATTGGACGACCATCTTCCTCCACCACTCCGGCCATCTTTCCAAGAACGACGATCTTCGGTTCCTTCTTCCTCGGAGTGACCTCGATTATAATGTGGAGACTCTTCTGCCGCTAAAGCCTAGACTACTTGAGTGTATGGGCTCCAAAGGTGAAAGCTCTCATTATTAAATTGCGGATTGTTGGTTAATAGCTCTTAGTATTGCTACTATTTTTGTTTATCTACTAGGTTTGGTTAATCTACATGAGCTCCTTCGCCTAAGCAAGTGGAAAACTAAGATTCTTTGATGAATTTGCTTGTTATTTCAATAAGTTATTAATTGGTATTTCATTGTCAACTATTCTTAAAGTTTCTTAAACAAGCTCCTGTGCATGTTGGTTTCACATCATAAACACTACCACTTGTGTGCTGAAAAAAAAAATTGAATTAGAAATAAAGTAAGCTTAGCATGTAACTCCTCCCAAATAGAGCGCAATCATGCCATAGTGCCTCCGTCTTGGTTATCCGTAGCTTATGCATCTCAAAAAAATATTTTCCTTATTATTTATCAATAGAAATCCATTCATTTCATTGTAAAACATACTAACTATTTAAACACATCATGAACATCTATCCAAGCCATCCTTAAAAAGCTTCTCAACCTTCTCTATAATTCTAAGAGATATTTGTGGACCATCTCAAGTTAATAATATCTCGGTTGCTCCGTGGTTTATACCTTTTGTAAATGGCCACACTAGAGTAATTTTGATCTTTTTTAATGAAAGACAACCTTAAAACTCACCACATTGTTAAAAAATTTCATTTTTGCATACAAACTTGTTTAAAACCCAGAAGTCCTCGTGACTAACAACAACATCAAACATTTATCCTACTACGTGAGGTTGGCTACATGAATCCTTTTTCTCCGTTGTGTCTTGCTAAGAGTCAAATTTTCATTTAATTCTAATGAAAATAGATAATTTTTAATATTTTCTAACTAAGTCGTTTATTGGAAAAATAATAATTTCATTCAATTCTTAGGGAATACATTCAATAAGGAATTGTTCACCAAAGTTCCTACATTTATAACCCTCAAGTGCACGCAACTGCCTAAAGGAAAATAATTAACTTTCGAGGCTACAAGATCCATTTTCATTACAGGCAATTCTCCAAAATAATATTGGAGAGATAATGTCCTAATTGTTGCATACTCTCATTTTTCTATAGATGGTTAAATTAATAATAACTTAATTTGTAGATAAAAATCTCATTTGAATTTATGCACTCTATGCTCTCTATCCCTCTATATATTTTCTATTTATCATTAAAATATTTATTAAAGTCATTTTCAAAATATAAATTTTAGATTCTCTTAACAACATTTACTAATTTATTCATTTAAAAAATCATAAATAAAAAAAAATTCAAATAATAAATTTAATAATTAGTAATTAGGTATTATATTAAATCTTAAATTTATTTTAAAAATTAATCAACTTATTAATTAAGCATTTTCTATTTATCTTTTTATAAATTTGATGTACAATCATAATATAATAATAATTATTTTCTCTAATATTTTTTTTATTAACTGATTACACAATAATTTTTTATCTCCTAAAAATAATCTTCCCTTTTCCTAGTCATCCAAACCTAGCCCACGCTTGCTGCTTAAGCTCGGTAACTCTCTGATTTCCCTCTTCTCCCGTTATCTCTTTCTCTCTTAATCTCCCTCGACTCCCACTCATTCTTTGATATCGCTCGGCCTCTTATATAAGTACAAAACCCTTTGCTTGAAACGACGCTTCTACTTCGTCTTCTTCGCTTTCACGAAATCAAACCGACTCACTCGTACAGTTTTGCGACTTCAGGCGAAGGGAAATGATGGTGATTCGCTTCGTCTTCTTTGAAAAAACCTAAAATGATGAAATTAACCCTCCTTCAGCTTCCGTGACTCCAATTGGCATCTCCTTCGTCTTCATATTCAACTTCACGGGATGGGTTTGGGCTATTACAGAAACTCTCCTCTCATTAGTTTTAGGCAGGACAAAACGGAATCGGGACAGAGGATGACACTCTAGCGCCAGATGTCCAACTTCTTCCTCGCAGAATTTGTTCTCCAGAGATTATAGCAAGAAGGCGAGCGAGCAAATAATAAGTTATTTTATTAAAACGGCATACGAATAAGAGAAGTTTTTCGGCTTTTCCAGTTAATTCAAATGATAAAACTAACACAATGATCAAATTGGATAATTTTTAATATATGAGGGACCAATGGACTACTTCGAGCGTTTTCTCATTGCAAAAATATGACTGAAAATATTGTTGTATTGATTACCTACTAAATAGAAAATGGAAGTAATAGGTTTCAGATTTCTTAAAGAAAAGATGCTTTGATGGCACATTGAAAGCATTCTCTTTATCAATATATCAGTTTTCAAAAAATTAGTTACCACTTACTTCTAAAAAGATGATTTTCCAGGCTTCCTTTAGGCATGAATTCATAAACCAACAACCTGTCATCACCTTCTGAACAGTATCCAATGAGCTTAACTAGATTTGGGTGGCGAAGCCGTCCAAGATAATCAACCTCAGTCTGCATTCGTTACACACAAATTAAACATCAAAACTAGAGGCAAATCTAAAAAGGAATTAAGTTTAGAGTCATACTAGCCATTCTTTGTGGCCCTGGAAGCCTTCTGGTTTGAGCTTTTTAACAGCAACAATCATACCAACTCCAGGCTTGGATGCTGTCAAACATTGTTCATCAATCCAACCTTTGTAAACATAACCAAATCCTCCTTCCCCAAGGAGACTATCAAGACGAAAATTTCTAGTGGCATTTCTTAATTCAGTGAATGTGAAATTCTTCAAATTTGAAGATGCTAAAATCTCCCCTTCGGTTCGTGGAGTTGGAAGACTATCAAAAGAATGTATTTCCTCATATGAAGATGCAGTGAGGTTTGAAGGAGTTGAACCGATTAAGATAGAAGGGCTCGTTGATGAAATTGGCTTGGTGTCTTTTGATTGACCTGCATAATGAGAAAATAATCAAAAACTAGCCACAGCTCCAGCAATAAAGAATATAAACAAGATATTCCAATGTATATTGATGATGAATATATGCTACAACAGTTCAAGCCTACATTTCGAATAAATGAAGCACTACTTAGGAGGGAATATTTCTCTGAACGTGCAAATAAAATACCTGATAACACACTAACATATTTATAGTTTGATAATGATAAATTTTTAAATTTGAAAATGTAATCAAACATTATCACTTCAGAAAAGCAATTATTTGAAATTTCAGAACTTAAAAACCAGATATTTAATGAGAAATGTGTTGTGAAAAATAGGTTGAACCTATTTCAATCAATGAGAGTGAAAAAAGAATAGAAAATAAGAAAGAAGATCAACATACAAAGAACACAATAATTTTAATACAAGTTCATCCAATTGATGGCTATATCCTATTATAAACACCGCAAATTTTACTATAATTTTATTGTGAAGAATATTCCTCTAGTGCAACATAAAGACCTGGTTCAATATTTATAAAGAAAAAACTAGGGCAACCTAAAATACGGTAAGATTCTCAAAATACCATTAATGAAATAGTTCATGCATTGACTAAGTGTGCGTAGCGTGTTTTCTTCATAAAGAAAAAATTAAGTTTCACAACTAAACAAAATGCATACTCCATAAGTAACCCTAAAACAAATCTTTTAACTCAAACCAACTCGTTTTCAGAAACGCAGAAAATATAAAGGTAGCGCAAGCACAAAAGATATTGAAGCATTATAATCATCTACTAAATCTGGAGTTCATAAAGCATGGTCCTAAAATTCTGTCAGTAACACTGGCTGAATTGCCATGAAGAAAATAAGCTATAGGAGAAACAAAAATTCTGGAATCCTTTAGCACAACTGACAACACAAATGCAAGAACACAGGCTATAAAACAAAATCAATAAGTAATAAATATCTCGATTCTTGATTACATAGATTTAATGACATATATCACTTCTTAAACCAAAAATTCACAGGGATTTCTTCCAAATTCACACGAACCTCACATTCACAATGCATTAAAGTTTTTTTTTTTTTTTTTTTTTTTTTTTTCTTTGGGGAGGGGGGGGGGGGGGGGGGGTTGGTAAATATAAATGCATAAAGTAAAAAAAAAAAAAACATCTTTGGTTCATTAAAAAAAATGGTATTGAATATCTCTGTATAAATATCCTTATGGTACCATAAATATTGCAATATAGAAGAAGCTTTTGCCACATCACAATGCTATCTAAATTATATATGAGCGTCTTTCTGGTATTTAAAAAAAAATGCTACCTTCAAAATAAGAAAGTTTGATTTACAGATTAAAATCCAATAAATTGAATTGTGGAAGCAAATAGCTTTCAAGCTAACCCTAAATATATTAACTCGGAAAAAAAAAATCAACCATAATAAAAACGAATAAAATTTTCTAGAAGCCTTTCTACTCAGCATAGATAAAGAAATAAGGAACGAGCTTACCAACTCCAGAAACTACATTAATCGTATACATAATGTTCGAACCAAGTCCACAACACATCAGTTGACAACAAAAAATAACCAACAAAGCAAAAATGGATGCAGATTCCAGATCTTAACACTTTCCTTTCCTGGCTAGGGTTTGCAGAGAAACATCTTACAATTTAATTAAACCATAAATGCCCAACATTTACCAAGCTTCCACGTATGAATAACATAATTCTAGCTGTACAACATCCAAGCACCATTAAAGAAATTAAAATGCTGCCTTTAAGCCAGGGAAACTTCCAAAAAGGTAAAGACAGCAAGCAATCGAGCTATAGAAAGGACGAGATAGGCAAACCCCGAGTATTGTGAGAGCTATGAGTGCCTCTCAACGTTGAAAGAAAATGGAAGCAGTTACCCATCGCCGCAACCCCGATAAGAAGCACTCAACCGCCAGCCATTAATTAAGCGTCCAACTCTCGAAATGGAATCCTTGGAATCTTTGAGTAGAATAGATGGTCCGCCGAGAAATTGGAACTTTCTTAGAATTTTCGCTGCTTCCAACCCTCAAGATTTTTTTTTATTGCGAGGATTTGAGAGCCATGAGCGACAAGGCAAGGCCGCAAAGGAGAGTGACCAGACACAACAAGCCAACTGCGCTTGCGCTACTGTAATTTTCAGATGGGTATTCGTGGGAATAAAAAATGGTTCAGCACTCAATTTCACATATTCAAGTTAACTCATAAGTAAGCTCATTTATATTATGTTAATAAGATGATTACAACTAAAAATATATATTATAATAATGAGATTCACATACATATTATAGAAATTTTATATATTTAAGATATAAATTTTAATATTTATTCATATAGGATCATAATGTCTAAATCACATTAAAATATATGAATTAAAAAATAAATTTTAGTTTAAATAAATTAATATTAATCATTATTTTAATATAATTTAGATATAAAAATTTAGATGTTATACATGTAAATATATAAAAATGGAAGATTATATATGCAAATTCTCCTATTATACAATATTAAAAAGAAAAAAATATGGTATAAATAATAAAAAGTTATTTAATATAAGGAATAAAAATTATATTTTTAAATACTTTTAATTAAAATTAAGCATATAGGTTCTAATATATTTTATGCATATTTCATATTATATTTTTGAAAGCTAACTCATAAACTAACAAGTTAGATCAGAGTTCGCTCAAACTAGACATATTAGTTCATCGGCTTCGCTCAAAAACATTTGTCTTGTTTAGCCTAAATCATCTTACAAGTCTATAGACTTCAAAAGAGCCTCATGATGATAGAGTATATTACTTCGTTGGATTGAAAATGTCATAACAAGGTGAGCACGGAAGACTAGTGTATTTTGATATGTATGATAATCAATGAAAGGCAAACGAGTTACACATATATTTATGTTTTGAATGATTTATAAAGAGGAGACCATATTACCTTGAAAGATATATCATTATTCATCATATTAAAAAATAAATATATAAGCAACTGAATGTATGAGAGATTTTTTTAAAAAAATTTGACCTGGAATGTCATATAGGGTTTGTTTATTATAAGGATTTTTTTTTCATGGGAACAAGCCCTTATGCTAATTACATTTTGGACATAGAGTTCAAAAAACTCTCGATTATGAGTATTAATTCATGTTCCTGCCGGTTTAGTCCGACTATGACTTCTATGGTAAGTTCTTTCATCATATATGCATAATGACTAGTGTCCTAGCAACATACATGATTAACATAGCAAGCATGCTATCAAGTACAAAAGAGCAAGAAAAAGAGATCTTGCAAAGAATATATATTTTAAAGAACAAGGATGATGGTGGAGGTTTATCTACTCATGTTGGGCGAGATAAAACTCTGGAATAACTACAAGAACATTTTTATTGACCACATTTTCATTGATATGGCACTCGCTTCATAGAGAGATGTTCGGTTTGTCAAACTTACAAAGATACGGCTAAAAAAACCAGCCTCTATCTTCCCCTTCCCATCTTGGATTCAATTTAGGAAGATTTAACTCTTGATTTTATTTTTGATCTTTCTCATACTAAGAGAGGAATTGATTCTATCATGGTCGTTGTTGATCGTTTCTCCAAAATGATGCATTTTATTCTGTGCAAGAAAACATTTGACGACGTCAACATTGCCCATCTCTTCTTCAATGAGATTGTTCGTTTACACAACCTACCTCATAGTTTTACTTCTGACCGTGATGCAAAATTTGTTTGCCGCTTTGGAGAGAATTTTGGAAACATTTGAAAATTGACCCTAAACTCAGCTCGGCCTATCACCTACAAATAGACTGATAGATCGATCCTTTCCAATTTGTTTATACAAAACAGCACAACCACCTTGTGAATCTAGCAATCCGACCAAAATGCAATAGCACTTTAGCTAATTATACAACAACAACTGTATTGATATCATCAAATTTGTTAAGACGAAGTTCAAACAACGTAAACATCTTCCAAATATAAACAACAATCATATCTTCACAAACGTTGCAAAATATTCAACCCGAGTGATATGGTAATGTTGCATAAGCTTAAAGAAAGATACCCACAAGGATCTTTCTCGAAGCTTAGCCCCCGAAAGATCAGTCCGTTCCCAATTATTCACAGAATTAAAGATAATGCTTATGTCGTAGACATTTCGTCAACTTTTTTGCACTTCTTCCACATCCAACGTGGCTGATATTTACACTCACCATCCACCTGATGGCATTCAAATTCAAGCTACCTCGGTGGAGTTGAGTTCTTTGGAATCGGGGGAGAATGTATATATTGATGCCGACTTCGCATTCCTGCAGGACATTATATCACATATTTCCTCTCCACTACCACTGCTTACTGCTTATTCCCTTGTTCTGTTAGCTACAGCATTGTACCCCTTTTATTTTGATTCCCCGCATTAAGTAATTTCTAGTATATAAAAAATTACTAGCTATATAGAATATATTGGAGATATAGTGGAGAACTAGAATACATTTTTAACCCAAAAGTTACCGTTTCATTGTTCTACTCTATTTTCTCATTTCTTCCTTCCGGAGCTGCTGCATCATAGGCATAGCATATCATAGGTTGGATTATGCCATCCTATGACCATAAGGTCCAATAATAAAGACATTATATTCCACCTTAGGGTGGAGAATCACATCATTACATCTGTGGAGCTGATAATTAAGACTTAATTACATAAGTCGTTTGAGTATGTTAGCTTTTAGGAAACTAAAGCTTTGCAATATTTTATCTCCATCTGTTGGACCAAATTGCATGCGCGAGGGGTTGATCAAAGGCTCCTTAGGAGCTATTCATAAAATCTAGCAGAGTTAGCTCAACTCAGGTATATTGTAGTCGTAAGCTGGCTTATCAAATTAGTGTTTCTGTTCACCTTTTCTATTCATTGGAACAATATATTTTTAGAATAAAGTATGCCGAATATTGAACTGATAATTTCAATGAACAAAAATGAAAATAGCAGCCCACATCATCTCTCTGTCTGGATCACAATGATGGAGTAGTCAGAATACAGTGAATATTAATTAGGCCGGTTTCCATCATCTCTGAGTCCAGCTTTCAGATCAAAAGAAAAATCAGAAGCTTTCCAGCAAAAGTAATGTGGTCACAACATCTGAATTAATGCATGTATCCAAATTATTTCTAGATAACGTGAAGGAAAGCAAGTCACTTTCCTTAATTATTTAATATTTAGTATGATGATTTCTGCTATAGGAAGTTCGTAAGGAATAATCTATTAAAAAAGCTTGTCATGCAAGAAAAATTAGGCTCATGAGGATTCAAGACACTGAACACTTCTTATAAATTTATAAGATAATTGTTTTACAGGACAATGTAGGTTGGTTGGTAAAATGATACTATTTATAACTATTTTGATTATTATTTTCTAAAATAAAATTTTAAAAATTAATATAAAAGATAACTTCATAATACAAAAAGTTAATGAAAACAATAAAAAAATAGCAGTGTAGTAACGATTTAAAAAGCAAATGAATAAAAAAGTTATCTCAAATAGACCTTTAGAATGTTCATACCAACTGCCACTCTCCTTCATATTTGTGCCAGTACTGTAATGAATGAGTGGTCGTAAATCTAGCTAAAAATTCTACCAGAGCTATTTGTGCCACCAATTTGAACATCGTTCGACTTCAGTAGGTCACTTTGAGCACCTACATCAGTACTGTATAGAATGCAAAATCTGTTTGCTCCTGCAACAAGGAGTAAAGTCTTCGCATAAGAGTATTGTGTCAACTCCTCCACTAATAAGAAGTGAAATTTTTTGGTTTAGATAGAATGATTACTTATGGGGAAAGCTCTCTAAGTAAAAGAAAAATAAACTTGTTAAGTTTCCCGAGTGTTGAATTTAGCTTCCAATAGGATAAGTGAACATATATTAGTATTTAGCTCACAATTTTTAATCTTTAGATTAAGGGTTCGTTTGGGACGGCTTTTTTATTGCTTCTTAAAGCAGTTTTTTATTTAAAAAATTAATTTTTTACTAGAAAGCTGCTTTAAGAAGCAATAAAAAAGCCGTCCCAAACAAAACCTAAGTCATTGTTTGAGACGGCTTTCTTGCTACTTCTTAGAAGAAAGCTGCTTTAAAAAGCAGCAAGAAAACCGTTCCAAACGAAGCCTAAAAATGAATTTGATATTTGATATATCAGACCTAATTTTTTATGTTTTATGTTCACAAACAAGTCGCATTCTGAAGTGAAAAAAAAATATAAAAGATAACTTCATAATACAAAAAATTAATGAAAACAATAAAAAAATAGCAGTGTAGTAACGATTTAAAAAGCAAATGAATAAAAAAGTTATCTCAAATAGACCTTTAGAATGTTCATACCAACTGCCACTCTCCTTCATATTTGTGCCAGTACTGTAATGAATGAGTGGTCTTAAACCTAGCTAAAAATTCTACCAGGGCTATTTGTGCCACCAATTTGAACATCGTTCGACTTCAGTAGGTCACTTTGAACACCTACATCAGTACTGTATAGAATGCAAAATCTGTTTTCTCCTGCAACAAGGAGTAATTAAAGTCTTCGCATAAGAGTATTGTGTTAACTCCTCCACTAATAAGAAGTGAAATTTTTTGGTTTAGATAGAATGATTACTTATGGGGAAAGCTCTCTAAGTAAAAGAAAAACTTGTTAAGTTTCCCGAGTGTTGAATTTAGCTTCCAATAGGATAAGTGAACATATATTAGTAGTTAGCTCACAATTTTTAATCTTTAGATTAAGGTTTCATTTGGGACGGTTTTCTTACTATTTCTTAAAACAGTTTTCTACTAACCGTCCATTTGTTTTGAGAAAAAATGGAAGAGAGAAAATGAAAATGGAAATGATAAAAGAATCATATTGAAATTAATTTTCGGGGATCGGTCGATTTGGTTGAGGAAAAATTGAATGGAAAAGCGATTTCTGGCTTTTTATTTTATTTGGTTTGAAGGACAAACCAATAAATTGAAGAATGAGCACAACCTAATGGTTTTATAATATCTATATAGCCAAAAAAAGTTTAAATTGGGTCAATTTGTTCCAAGAAAGTCTTAGCAAGTAGTTATGGCTATGTTTCAGAAATAAATTGTTAGCCCCAATTAATTATATTTATTTATATTGCATAAATTTTATTTTATTTCATCCTTTATTAATAAATAAAAATTATAAGAAGGAAAAAGCAGGTAACATTTCTTAACAAATGTTGGAAGCAGGAGTTTTTTTTTTTTTTGCTGTATAAAAAGTTTGATGCTGCAGTCTTCGGACAAATACATGAGAATATTAACACGATATTTTATAAATAAAATTACATTGGATTCTTTGCACTGTACACTATACGTTTATCGCTCTGAGTTCCTAACAATTGAGGGAATAAAATATGTCAATGTCCTTATCAAAAATTAACTGAAATGAACATTAAATTTTGTTAATTTACTTTGAAATTGATGTGACGATGCAGCTTACCAATATTTCAAGTCCATTTATTTTGGCCAAAATTTAGAGAACTTTACTCTCTTTGTTGAGAAATGACACATTTGTCAAATTTCAGCTTGGTTTGGGACGGATTTCTTACTACTTGCTAAGAAAAATTTTTAGTACAAAAATTAAAATTTTGTTTTAAGAAGTAATAAGAAAATTATCGCAAACGAAGCTTTGTAAGGGTTCAAGTTATAATCATGGGCCCGTGGCTTCTACATACCACTATTTATTTTGGATTTTATTTGGGAAGATTTTGGCCTTAATTTTATTCTTAAAGTGTTGCAAGCATTTATGTTGAGGAGCATGCTCAATTATAATAGCGGTATATTATTTTTCAAAAACAGCTCACTTTATTGGTTGCTTGTAGGAAGACATTCCATATTATATATGTGGCAAAACTATTTTTTCATGAAATCATATATGACGCTCTACATTTCTCACTTTTGATTGGGACTTAAAATTTATGATCTATTTTTATATGATCGAGTTGTGTAACCATTTAAAAATCTAACTTTGACTTATTCAGCCCATCATTTTCAGATGAATGGGCAAACGGAGGTTATTAATAGACTCAATATGCTCTATTATCTCATGAAGGATCACCTAAAAAAATATGATGAAATTTTAAGATAAGTTTTGAGTTTAAAATGCTCTTTTAGCATTGTTTAAATTATATTTTCGAGTAACACCGTCGACGTAGCAACTTTATTGAAGCCAAAGAGTAAAATTGTTATTAACATGGTTGCAAATTTTGATGCATCTGATGCTATTGGATATTAAAGCAAACCTTGTAGGACATTTTTTGACTGCTGCTTTCAGAAAATTTTTGTACAAAAAAATTAATTTGTAAATCAGTAAAAAAGTCATTCCAAACGAAACCTAAGAGGATAAACACATTGCTTACTTCTGTAGGCTTCGTTTGGGACGGCTTTCTTACTGCTTCTTAAATCAACCTTTTTGTATAAAATTTTTAATTTTTGCATTAAAAAGTAACTTTAAAAAACCGCTCCAAAGGGAGCCTTAGTTGCTCAGCCCACCATATGACAATAATGTGAAGATTATTGAACTCGAGCCAAGTTCTTCTAAATGTGAACGAAACTTATGCAGCTCATCACTACTCTCCATAGCTTTATTTTCGTCATCTTAAATATTTTATTTCACTATATATATGGTTTAAACGATATTATTAGACACATTATTAGCTTTAGGTTGATAGTGATATATGTACTCCTAACGGATTTACAGGAGAATCATTGAATATCGTCGTAGAAAATTTTCTTTCTTGAAAATATCTTTTTATGTTTTTCGTTTTGATTGTTTATTTTTATATATATTATATTGATCTTAAATTAAATTTAAGTATTTTAAAACTAATCTTAATTTGAATTTAATGAGAATATCCTAATCCAATTTCTTTCCTAATAATTGGTGCCCATAATTCCAAATGCGACAATCTAGTTGGTTGGAATAGATTTGACTTTGCCAATGTTCTTGGCTTCACAATTGGAAACCGGCTCATCATTTCATTTATATAATCTTAGTGTCGCCGAGTAAACAGTGCATGCATCCATTGATGCCCAAAAATAATAAAAAAATTTGAGTCAGGAAATAAAAATTTAATAAAAATGTATAATGAGACAAACTAGAAAGCGCCACGTCATTCGGTACCGAGTAAAAAAATGACGCGGCACGTTTTGGTTGATCTCCATATACTGTCTGGGATTCGCACATGATTATTTTTCATCGGAGGGACGGTAAATTTACCTTTTTGTTCTACCATATATTAAAAAAAAAAACTGAAGGGTTGCTCAACTTCATAAATTTCAATTTTTATGAAACTTCAAGCTCAATCTAAAAATCAGGCGGGGGACGAAATCATTAAGAGGCTTTCATTCGTTATATATTAGATATGATGGGGCTTAGAATGATCTGTATATCCTTAATTGTTCTTGCTAAGTACTCCATATTCATATAAAAAAGCTTTTGAATCAAGGAAAATTTATGGATATCCTAGCTTTGTAAATCCGACCCAAATAGTTGGGATAAAGAGACACCCCCCTCTGCAAATTTTTTGGCCATTTTGAGATATCTATATCCCACTAACTTTTGAAAAAGTAGCTGACAGCAGCTTCTTCACATGGCTCTCTTATCCTGAAACAGGACTTTGAAATTGTTGAGAAATATATATATTGCACCTAAACCTTAGATAATTCCTCCAGTCTTATTACAGTTTACTTTCCCACAGCTCATTTCTTGTTTTCTTCCTTCTTCCCATAATATTCTCTCTATCTCTACCAATTGGATTCTGTCACTTTCCATGTAATAATTATATTCTACTGTGCATAAACATCTACCTAAGTACCTATCATAAGAACCATATACAGATAATGAGAGCTCAAACAGTCTACATGCAAGCTGCTACTTCATTTTTTTTCAACATTAAGTGCCACATTAGTCTTAAGAAAGAGAAATATACTTTATTTCATGTTGAAACATTAAAATATATTGAATAATAAACACATACATCATATCGTCTCACAGTAAGGAAGAAAAAAAAAAACTTTTCATAACATTACCAATATGATATAGAGAACAATGGTGAAAATGCTTAACAAGATCTAAGTAAGCATTCATCAATGGTGATTTTGGTGATCAGGCCATGGCCAGAAAGCAGTTTCCATTCCACACAACAAGTTGCTGAAGTGTTCATCAGTGATTCCATTCTCAATCTTGCTGCAATTCAGATCTGGTGTTAACGAGCCATGCAGAAACTGTGAGATCATCGGGGGTCGAACTGACGAGAATAATTCTATTTTTGGATTATGATTTAGAAGGCTGTTCTCAGAGCTGTTCTCAGTTCTGTTGCTGCATGATCCTTCTGTTTCCTTATTCAGGTTTATGAGTTCAGCTGCTTCCCTTCCTTTGAGACCCAAAATCTGTAAAATTAATAGATGAATCAATCAATGGAATCTACTGTCATATAACTACTCAAGAAGTTTTGAAATCGATAAGGCCCAAAAAGGAAGAGAAATAATGTGCCCGATCATAAAGATAAAGAAAGTACCTCAGCTTGAAGTTTCTTGTTCTGAGCCTGAAGGGCAACATTCTCAGTTTTAACGGCTTCAAACTGCAACTTGAGCAAATCGTAATCCTTCTCCAACTGCTTGGTCTTCCATCTGGCTCTCCTGTTCTGAAACCAAATTGCAATCTGTCTTGGCTGAAGCCCAAGAGCCATGGCAAGTTGAATTTTCCTCTCTGGCTCCAACTTATTCCCAAGCTCAAAATTCTTCTCTAATGTCCTCACTTGCTCCATATTCAACCTTCTCTTTTTCTCCCCCGGGTGCGAGCAGTCATCATCGGAGAGTTCCTCCTCTGCTTCGCAGGCCTCGAAGTTACCGGAAAATGACACTGATCTCTTTCTCACCATTGCTGCCATCCCTGCAAAACAAGATGGCAAACACTCCAATTACTTCGGAAATGTTTTGAAAAGGTAATCAAGTGGTTAAATAATTACCTATGGAGAAGTCTTGGGGATTGGAGGAAGGCAATAAGGGATTGATGATTGAGGATTGTTGATGCTGATTAAGAGAGTCTTCTTCATTGGAATTCTGCATCTGGAAGATGAAGTTTGGGTGAAAGAAGGAAGAGGAAGCCATGTTTTGCCGTAGACAGAATGGAGAACTATGGGCTCAGTTGAGATCTATAGCTGCTATTATCTTTGGTGAAAGGCGGGGCAGAAATCAAATAAGAAATTTTTCCTTATATAAATCTTGATAATTATAGAAACTGTTGAGCATAATCTAATTTTAAAAATGAGTGGTAATAAAAAAGTTGTTATAAGAAAATTTATAAGGAATCTTCAATGAGCATTATTAAAAATTTGCGAATTATTTAATAATAAATTAATTAAAAATATGATTAAATATTATATTATAACGTCCCCAAAAGCAATTAATATTTGTTATTTGTTACTAAAAGCAATATTATGTCAAGTTTTAATCATTTTGTCATTGTTTTTTTAATGTGAAAAAAATATTAATCATTTTCTTAAATATGAGTGAATAATTATTTTTTTAATTATAACTAATTTAAAGAATTTTCTCATAAAAAAATTTATAAGAGCTTTTTTGTCATATCTGATTTCATAATGTGATATAAATATATTTTAATTTAAATCATATTAATAATAGAGCATAATCTAAATTTAAAAAAAATGTGGTAATAACAAAATTTTTATAAGACTGACAATTATAGGGAATTCTCAACATTAAAAAATTGGAACTTGATTATGAATTGTTTTAAAAAAATGATAAAGTATTATATTTTAGATGGAAATTTTATTTAAAATTGTTACTTAAAGCAATACTTTGTTGAAATATTTTTTTAAATATGGTTAATAATATTAATATTTTTTTAATATGACTAAATAATTATCCGTAATTAAATCATATATATTTTTATTCATGAGATTAATAATCATATATTTTTTAAAATTGTGAATGTTTGACCACATTAAGCCATTAAATAATAGCTTTGTTACTGTTTTTAAAGATAAGTATGATTAATAATAATTGTTAATTACACTGTTTAAAATAATATGATTAGACCTCATCAATACTTTAATGAGAATATACGCTGGGGATGAGAGAGAGTAAGAATAGAAGATGAATTATTGGGAGGAATATATATTAAAGGAAGAAAATATGAATGATTAAACTGTTAAAAAAATGAACTGTTATTAACAGGAAAATAAAGTATTAATTATATAAAATTTATGTGCAATGCAAAAGTGTAAAATATAGTTTCATATTAATTAAAAATATAGTATATAATATAGTAAAATAATTAGTCATAAGATTTAATTTTGTTCCTCGTATGGGTTACAATATTTGCTTTAATTTGTGCACATGTGATTGGCAGTTAAAGTAAGTCTAATGGTCTCCTGGATCCATATTCATCCATTGAACTTGTATATATTAGAAGCTTGCTATGTTTGAAGGGCCAAAATTAGGACCAACAATAACAACAACAACCACATCAAGCCTTTATCCTACTACCCTAATACCTGGGATAGACTACATGCATCAATTCTTTTTCTCCATTGTGTTGTTAAAAGTCAAATTCTTATTTAAATATAATAAAGAAATGTCATTTCTAATATTTTTTAACGAAATCTTTTAAGGTCTATTTATATCTTTCTAAATATAAGTCAAATCTAATACATCAAACTCTTAATCGGGTTATCGGAAGGCCGTCGTTTTATGTGACCAAATCATCTATGGCGACTCTTTCTAATCTTATCTTTCAGTGGAACTACTCTAACCTTTTTACTTATTTGCTAGTTTCGTATCATGTCTTTAAGAGCAAAGCCACTCATCTACCTGAACATCCTAATCTCTACAACACTTAATTTAATATTATGCTTCTTTTTTAATGGCCAACATTTTGCGTCATGAAGTATTTTAGGTCTCACCACCATCTTATAGAATTTTCCCTTAAGTTTGAGGGGGGATTTTCTGTCACACAACAAACCCGATGCATTCCTCCACTTCAGCCATCCAAATTAAATTCTACTAATAATATCATCATCTATTTCACTACTACTCAGAACAATAGACCCAAGGTATCTAAAACGTGTACTCTTATTAATAACTTGATTGCCCAAAGTCACATTTCCCCAATTGGATATATTATTACTAAAATTACACTCCATATATTTGTTTTTAGATCTACTCAAATGAAAATCTTTAGACTCTAAGGTTGACCTCCATAATTCAAGTTTACCTCCAATTCCCTCTCTAGTCTTACCAACAAGAAGAATATAATCAACAAAATGCATATACTAGGGTGCAACCTCTTCCAAATCTCTAGTAAGAACATCCATGACTAAAGCAAAAAGAAACGGGCTTAAGGCTAATCCTTGATGTAATCCAATTGAAATAGGAAAATACTTGGTCCAACTACCTTGTGTTTGAACACAAGTAACAACACCTGTTTACATATCCTTAATGACTTGAATATAAGCATTATTAACTAATTTCTTTTCTAGAACTCCCCATTGCACTTCCCTTAGAACTTTATCATACAATTTCTCTAAATCAATAAATAACATATGCAGATCCTCTTTATTATCTCTATGATTCTCCATCAAATATCTCAATAAATGTATAGCTGCTATAGTAGACCTACCCGACATGAATCCAAATCAATTTTAAGAAACATTACTATCACATTGTAACATATGATTCATAACTCTCTCCCATAATTTTAAATTTTGACACATTAACTTAATTCCTTTATGAGGGCCAAAATCACGATTGTTATATAATAAATTAATACTAATTACTTTGGAATTTTAAGTTGATTGATAACTTCATCTAATAACCTAAACTACATAAGGTTTGTTTGGGACAATTGTAAAGTTCTAAAAAGTTGATTGTGAAGTTGTTGTGTGGAAAATACAGCTATTATGGTTACATCACTACGGGAAAACACGCGATTATCGTCGGAGGTTCCGACGGATCTTTATTCGTCGGTAAGTATGGCGTTCTTACCGGCGTATTCTGAGACGGAAGTATAATGGCATTTTTTTCCGGCTGAATAGGCGTCGGTAGTGTTCCGGCACCCTATACGCCGGTTTTGATGTCGGAATATACAAGCATTTCATTTGAAGCGGCGGATTTTACGCCGGAAATAGATGGCAGATTTACCGACGGAGAAGACGCCAACCATTTTAAACTCAACGAATTATAACCGACGCAAAAGACGTCGGAAACATTTCCGGCGTACCATCCGCTGGAAAATCCGCCGGCGAAAGCCCTATTTCCAAACCTGAGCAAGTGTGGCTACTCATTTGCTTCCGCCATTTGTTTGATATCTCCACTCTACTCTCATCGCCCCAACCCTATATCGCCGTCGTCGAGGCTTCTGGACTTCCACGAGATGTCGCCGACGACCGTGAGTTTCAAAATTTTTGGTTGCTTTTCTTAATATAAAATTTCATAGGATGATAAGGAGTTTTGTTTTAAAGGTTGGAGTAGCTCCGCCGGTGTGAAGACCATTCAACCTAGTTTGCCGCCTCAATCGCCGCCTCAACCGCCGGTGGAAATCCGATTGCTGTCTGGGAAGACAATTTTTTTGTTATTGCTACAGGTTTTCGGAGGAATTTACGTCGGTATTTTGTCGGAAACGACGATACAACGAATTTCTGCAATTGTTCCGACGTTTTATATCCGCCGAAAATACTGGCGAATAAAGCGTCGGTACCAAGTCGTAGCTTTAGTTTCAGCGCAAATTACGGCGTTTTATCCGCCAAAGTTGCCGGCGGATAGATACGATGCAAATTTTGGCGTTCTTAACGTCGGAATGGTCTGATAATAAACGCCATTTTTTGGCATATTTTTCACCGTTAATGAGTCAGAGAGTGCGCCGAAAAGGTTTCTGGCATATTATAGACGTCGAAAAGCTTTTTCTGACGCGTGCCAAACCGGCGTATGAAAATTTGGCGGAAATGAGCCGGAAACCGAAACTTTCCGTCGTATTTTCCATATTACCGGTGGATTTTGTCCACCGATAATACCGGGTTTTTCCTGTAGTGAATAAAATTGTTTTTCATCATAGAATTTTTAGAAAAGTAGTGAGAAGACAGAAAGAAAGAAAGCAGTAGTTAAGTAAAATTTTGATTTTCATCTTCAAAGAAAATAAGAGAGAAAGTTATCCCAAATAGGCCTTTAAGTCTTGTTTGGGACAACTTTCTTACTGCTTTCTAAAGCAGCTTTTTAGCGCAAAAATTTCTTGAACTAAAAATTTTTATACCAAAAAGCTAATTTAAAAATTAGTGAAAAGCCTTCCCAAACGAACCCTTAGTTAATATTTGATACAATTTTTCTTCACTCTTAAATATATATATATATATAACTGAGCAAGTAAAACGATGAGGATATTAACAATGTTATTTGTACAACCATTTTAGGTTTATTATTGTTAAAAAAAAGTTAATAAATAAAATAAAAAGAGAGAATTTAAGTTGAATGGGTCCAGCATTGGTTATAAGTTTACTACCTAACCCACATGCAATTATGCATTTATTTTTCTCTCCATCAATGTCACCTATCAACTTCATCTCTCTTTATATGCAGCATTTGAATACATTCTTCTCATATATGAGAAATTATGCCTGTGAAGAGAAATCGTGTAGGTTTCAAGAGCGAGAGAGAGAGAGAGAGAGAGAGAGAGAGAGAGAGAGAGAGAGAGATTAATTATCTTATAAAAGATGACTCCCACACTATCAAAAAGGTAGAATCAAATAATGAGGGACATAGGATTTTCTTATGTGGAAGTTTAGAAAGAGAAAAATGATATGAGTCTAATCGAACTGAAAAAGTTTTACGAATAATATATATGAGTTATAAAGGATTACTCTTCTCTAAAATATAAAGCATGCAAAAGAAGATTATGGCTAGTATCTTTAGTGTTGGTGAAGCAATAAGACCAACTATCATGATAATTTTCTTATATAAAGCAAAGAAGCTATGATTCGAAGGTAATGGAAGGAGAGGAGGGATGTTAAAAGGTCAATGAGGTCATTGTCCTCTAAAGGTGAAGTGGCACAACTTTGGGGTGATAAACAAAGACAATCTTGAAAGGTTCAAAGGCATTTGAGTTGGCTAGGTTGATTGTCCTCTTGGAGATGAATGTGATATCACCTAATTAGGGTGAT